TCCTGTTCCGCGTCCCATTTGTTATTTAGCCAACTACCTAGGTATCTGAACTTTGGCACTTCCTCCACAATAGAATTATCTAGAACTAATGTGTTCGTACTTATATCAGATTTGCTGACAACCATTAGTTTGGTTTTTGTGGTGTTGATCTTCAGATTATAATGCTGGATTTTGGCGTTCAGGAGATTCAGAAGCTGCTGTAGTTCTTCCAAACTGTTAGCTAACAGCACAGTGTCGTCGGCGTATCTCAAGTTATTTATGTATTTACCGTTGCATTTTATCCCCATTTCAACACCATCAAAAGCTTCTGTAAATATACGCTCGGAATAGAGGTTAAAGAGGCTAGGTGAAAGTATACAGCCTTGGCGGACACCCTTTAGTATTTTCAGGTCTTGGGTAGATTTTTGACCGATTTTGATGTGGGCTGTTTGATTCCAGTATAAATTCCCAAGTATTCTCGCATCCTTGCCATCTATTTCAGTGTGCTTTATTATTTCCAACAGATGTTCGTGGTTGACGGTGTCAAAAGCCTTCTCGAAGTCTATGAAGCACATGAAAACGTTCCTCTGGTGCTCAAGACAGTTTTGTATTAAGACTTGAATTGCCAGAAGGGCCTCTCTAGTTCCCAAGCCATTTCTAAACCCGAACTGAGATTCGTCTATAATGTCATCGACTTTTTTGTATATCCTGTAGTTAATTACTTTAAGGAAAACCTTTAGTACATGGCTCATCAAACTGATAAGTCGGTATTCATTGCATGTTTTGGCACTGGGCTTTTTGGGGATTGGTAAGAAGGAAGACTTAAGCCAGTCGTTAGGAATTTTACCGGAGCTATAAATTTTGTTAAACAATTTTTCTAAGATATTAATTCCATACTCGTCCAGTAGCTTAAGAAGTTCGCCGTGTATACCATCTGGGCCGACAGCTTTCCCATTTTTCATATTTCGAATGGCTTTTTGTATTTCCCCTGTTACAATTGACGGACCATCATCGTTATTGAGCTCTGGCATAACTTCCTTTCTGGTATCGTCGAAGAGTTTTTCTATGTAATTAGCCCATTCCGTTATCTGATCGTCTATGTCTATCAGTAGCTTGTTGTCACTGTTAGATAATTTGCCAGTGGTTTTCTTGCGGTTGGTATTAGTAAAGTCCTTAACTTTTTTATGTAGGTTAAAGTGGTCATGTTTACGTTCCAAATCTTCTATTTCTGAACATTTCCCCTCTAGGTACAAATCTCTTTCTCTGCGAATTTGAGCTCTAATTAAATTGTCGACTTTTGCATATTGGGTACTATCTGTATGTTTGTATTGCCTTCTTTCCTCCATTAGGTCCAAGATTTCTCTGGTTACCCATGGAACTTTGGCCTCTTTCACTAGGTATCCCAGTACTTCTTTACTAACTGTTGTGGTAGTTTCTTTAAAATAATTCCAAATATCTTCTGTATCCATTTTGTCTAAATCAAGAGAATCATAGTTTTTTCGAAGATCGTTATTATACGTTGCTAATGTTTTTGTTCTAATATCTGATTCCTTAAGTTTACCTATTGCAATTTTTCTCTGCTGGTTGTTGGGATCCTTTTTGGAATTTTAAGTTTTAAGTTCAGATTGGCGACTAGTGGGTTATGGTCTGAACCAATATCTGCGCCGGGAAATGTTTTGACATTAAGTATGGAGTTACGAAATCGGGATGGTATCAGTATATAGTCGATCTGATTACGAATTATATTTTCTGGGGTATGTTTTGGAGAGGTCCAAGTATATAATCGTCTAGGTGGATGTTGATACCACGTGTTAGCTGCGACTAAGTCTCTTTCCATACAGAATTGTAACAACCGGTCTCCAGTCCAATTTCTTTCTCCCAATCCGTAATTACCAACGTATTTATCAACCGATCCTTTCCCGATTTTAGCATTTAGATCACCTAGAATGAGCGTGAATTGTTGAGATTTTAATGAGTCCGAAACCGAATTAACCTCGCTATAGAACCGCTCTAGGAGATCTGGATCTTTTTCTGCTTTCTCAGTTGTGGGCGCGTAAATTTGAATTATATTGACGTCGAATGGTTGGCCGCTCAGCTGCAAAAGAATACAACGCTCCGATACGGGTACAAAGTTGGTTACGTAGCGGGTGAGCTCCTTCTTGATAAGAATACCAACACCGTGGTAATGGTGTTCCTCTGAAGAGGGCTGCCCTGAGTAGTATAGTACAGCATCCTCTGTATCGTATCTGCCGTTGTCCTTCCAGCGTACTTCACTGAGACCAATTATGTCTAATTGTAGGCGTTTCATTTCCGAAATGAGATTATCAATTTTTCCGGGCTTCACTAAGCTTCTAACATTCCATGTTGCCATATTCAGGCATTGTCTTTTTCCTCTTATTAGTTTTATTCCTGTTGTAGGTATCTTCTTCGGGTTGTTTTCTTCTTCTTCTGTTTCTTCTTCTTCGGTAACATATTTCTCATCACAAGTCCCGGCTAACTTGTGACGCCGGGATGGGGCCGGATCGCAACCTTCTCTAATATTTGACTGGCTCATTGCATTGGTGGTTTTCTTGGGGCAAACATAGGTGTAGTGGGGCCCCGGGTCCTTCTACACCGGCTGTAGCTTCTTCCAAAGCTTGGATGCCGCCGTTGGCCAAAATAGGCTCCTCCGCCGCCAATCCTTCTGCCTGGCCCAGCTCCAGCAGGCAGCAACCCACAACCTCTTCTTCAAGTACTTCAAAGGAGCCTGCAGGCGGGTTTGTTAACGGAGTGTCCTTCTCCGGCCTTGTGGTCCGCGGGAGGTATTTTATTTCCCTCCTACCCGGCATATCTGCCGAGCATTCCCCTATCCGCCACCTGGGGACGCGGTCTCTAGGGAATGAGGCTACCCCGAATCAAAGATACGTCACTAAATTGTTCAGATATTCCGCAGTCACTGCTCTAACGCTATAAGTGCTTCTGCTCGAGTGCTTTACGGAGTTACGTGCCATTTAGCTGAACGGACTTGACGCCATCTTCGTCTACAGAAAATATGTAAACTCCTCGTATACATATTGTTTGTTTCATTTTACAAAATGATTGATCTTGTCTCTTTTTTGCAGAAGTTCGTGTCAAATATTGTTTGGGGCTAATTCTGGAGTGGCTTTCACGCGTTGGAAAACGCTGTCTACCTATCTTGAATTGTCTTTTACAAGGAAGATTCAAGACATTAAGTACAGTCGTTGGGTTGTGGTCTATCTATAGACGGATCTGGGTGCCTATGTCCACAGCATTACTGCACGTTTGCTCTCGAAGATTATGGATGACCACTTAGATTTTGACATATGTGTTAAATATTTCGTCCTACTTGATTCAGATCATAATGTACAATATAGGTACGTATCAAATACTATCTGAAACTACAGCTACGTTTCATAGTGGAAGCAGTTAATTAAGCTACAACATCTATTAGATTTCAGCACTGTCCCAACGCTTGGTCCAAGACAAGCTCCGTTTATTTCCCAAACGTTTAGACTTGTCACCGTTGTCAGTTGGAGGCAGTAATTTGTCTGCCTCTACGTCGTATATCCACTGACCCCCATTTGAAACAGACAGTCCACCTACACAACTATGGTGGTCTTACATTTGCCGTACAATGTTGCGATATTTGAGATCGAGCTACTAAAATAAATACAACTTCTTTTGACATTTTAAAACTGAAAAAAAATCGCCAGAATATCTATCTTCCCATATGAGACCAGACCACAGAGCAACAAAATGTCACTCATGAAATAAAAAAGGTTTCATTTGTCTATGGACCAGACCATTTGGTTGTTCATAAAAAAAACAGTATATTTAAAATGGGTAGGTAGATTAGCTGGCGATAATTTTGATTTTATCAAAGCTTGTCACTCGAATGGTGGAAATTCCAAAACGCAGTATCCCCAAGTGTATGTGCCGTTTACCAAACTCAGGGTGAAAGCAGCAAAATGACATGAAACCAGTATAGAAACTGTTGAAATTATAAGCAGAAATTGTTTTCATTTCCACGGTTATCCAGTTTTGATCTGACATTACGACTTGAACTGGAAATTCACCAGCAGAATCGGGAATTTGAAATTCGAAACCTCAAAGTGAATCTGACTGATAGGATATTGTAAGCTGGATCAACGTAAGTTGGATTGGATACGACGTATCGATAATTAGGTTGGTATTTCTAGCAAACACTGGGTTTAATGCATCGTATATTTTCAAATAATCAATACCAACCGAAATGTCATTGACGTGGCTACATTTTGGATACAAAAACTGTAACCTGAAAAGAAGAAGACCATCGACCCGAAAAGAAGAAGAAAAAGGAGTTCCAAATGAAAAGCAAGTATTCTGTTTTTGTCTGTCACACAAATAAAATAATCAAGTAGACAAGGCTCGCAAGGTCATTTGACAAATTGATGAAGGAACTAGTCGAATATTCTAAATTCTTCTAGATTATTAGAGAGCTTGGCTCTTGTCGGTGGGGCATCGCTTTCCGCATTTTACTCCATTGATTAGGGAATTCAGTGCAGTATTCTAGACTGTCAGACAGAAAAACGATTAAATAGCAGACCAACCAAAACCATCTCTACTTTCCTCTGTCGGCTAATAAAATGCTGGTTTCCTATCGGCCCTCACACGCGCTACCAATTGCAATGGCGCTCACGCAAGCCACGCGGCTGACTGACGGGACGACAGCAACGCTCGAAATATTGCATTTGCACCCCTGTAAAGTAAAAATCTTCGTACTGCAGATAGACAGACAGACATACACACACACACACACACACACACACACACACACTCATACACACACACGCACACACACGGCACGGCTACCAATTGCAATGGCGCTCACGCAAGCCGCGCGGGTGACTGACGGGACGACAGCAACGCTCGAAATATTGCATTTGCGCCCCTGTACAGTAAAAATCTTCATACAACAGATAGACATACACATAGAGCACCGCTACCAGTTTACAATGGCGTTCACGCAAGCCGCGGCGGCGGTGGATGTGGCGCGGTGATAGTGCGACTGCTTGCGACGCAGAAGGTTCTGGGTTCAATTCCCGATGGAGCACTCACAAAGGGGATATTTATTACTTCGTGAATTTGTTCCCAGTCTGGTTAAGGCATTGCAGGCTGAACCATCTGATTGTCCGTAAGACTCCGTCAGTTTGCTGTCTAGGATTACTTAGACGGCGGTCGTTACACAAACATGTCTCAAAAACTCAATAACCCTTACACCAGGCATCATAGGGTCACTGGATGGCTCGTTCTTGCACTAGAAAAGAGAAGACTACATGTGAAGTATGATGTAAGAGACCATGTACCTACCTACCGAAAACTTTGCAGACATTATCAGACATTGACACTGAACAACTTCTACAGTTGAGGAGCCTTTGTTGGAAAGCGATAACGATTTTCCCTTGAAATTCAGCTAGTCGGTCGTGAACTTTGTATGGAAAGTCGTGTGTTGTTAGCGTTGTACTGCGAAGCTTCCACTGCGCACCGTACGTCATTCCTACCTTTTTGCGCGTTAGTATTCGTGTTGAACAACCGGTCCACTGGGAGTTCAAATAAAGTCGACAAAGGGGATGTTAAGGTACAGAGAGAATGTAATTTGGGAGCTTCTCTAAATGTCACAATGATGTGATAATTGGATAAAGGTTCTGCACAAAATTGTGGTTCTGGTCAATTTTTGCCAGTTAGTTTCTTCTTTGAATAGATTCCCTCCAGAACTACCACCACAACCATATAAAAAATCACGAGTGTGCAAAATTTTATCGCAAATTTGTTGGGGAAATTGCAATATGTGGTGGACAACCTACACTTTCCAGCTGAAAGTGATTCTTCGAGACTTGTTTCACCAACTCTGCTGTTAGGTATGCCGACACTACAGATGTAACAAAAAAATAAAATAAACGGTAGTGAACCCACTTTTATTTATTTATGTAAATGAAAACAAACGTAATGCATTACTCATGCATCTTCAACCAATTTTCCGTCTTGCATTTTATAGCACCTCATAAATTAAATGCAAATTCCAAGATAGCGCCCTCACGCAACCACTTTCGGACCCGAACTTTTTCATATAAACGTCATGTCAAGCTTATACCAACTCTATAATGGTGCAAAGGGGAATATGTAATATTGTTAGGTCTTGCAACAGAGGGGTGTGTCACTCAATCACTGTGTTACGTGACTGTGTTTACAAGTCCAAAGTTCACAATAAAGGTTCAAAGGTTTCAAACGGATTACGGATTGGTGTTTGTCAAACCTTTTTTGTTTGTCGTGTTCTGTCCAGACTTTTCGATGGAAACCGTCGCTACGCTGTTTTCAATGGCTAATCCTGTAGGTGCAATTTAGTACTAGAACCCTTTCATGTTACAAAGGTCTTATTTTCTGGTCTTTCCAGAAGACGGTTCGTTTTTAGGGAAGAACACAAAATTAATGAGTGAGATTGTTGTAAGTTTGGTTAGCTCGCCACAGACTTAACTTTTTGATGGTTAATAACGGTTGCCTCACAAAATGCAGATTGATTGACAAAGTGAATGAAAAAAGCTGATACCGGGATCATAGGGTCGTCCACATATCTATTCGGTGTCCCACCGTCGGGAATCATCCATGTAAGCTAAGGTACAACTAGAAATCCTACAAGCATAGAGTTTCACATTAATTACCCATGTATCTGTCCTCTGATTAAGAGTGCAGCAGCGGAACGGAGGCACGGGGTCAACTTTAATTGGCAAAGCTAGAGTTGGGACATAAATTACTGAGGGGTTCATGGAATAAGATACCCTCTTTTATTGGGTATCATAATTACAGCACGAAAACACAGATGCTTTGAATTTATAGGCCTAGTCGTTACTTCTTTTTCTTTTTGTGGTGATCGCCAAGTCAAGGAACGTCTTTGATAGAAAGATCCCCATGCTTGGCGATTCTTACCACACCTTCAAACATCTGTCTGGTCTGGAGCTCCTTTAGTTGCCCTACCTTAGCATGCGTTTTTTTGCGATGTTCTCTACACTACACCGTTATGTCAAAATTCTTCGTTTGTTTTGACGAATTCCATAAAATTTGATATATCTTTAGGTATGTATCTCGCGCGCGAGATAAGTCTTCCTATTGTGCAGATATGCTGCGTATAGTTGACCGGTATCCTGAGGCCAGACTATGAGATAAAAGAGTTTGCTTGAACTTCTGTCGTTCAAGTCATAGACTTTCTGGGTCTGTGATTAGTTATATAGGAAAGGAACTAGGTATATTGTGTTTTTGCCTCGTACCTACCTACTTAAAGGAAAAAATTCTTTTTAACCGACGAAAAACAAAAAGACGAAGGCGAGGTTCCCAATTCGCCGCGAACTCATAGGTAATTACTTTTAAATAAGTAAATGTTAAATTTAGTTTTAACCCGTCAAGTAACATAAGCGCAGCTCTACCTCGCATTTTAGATGTGCGATACGACAGCGGGTTAATGAATAGTACAACATGTGGACAACTGCTGTTGTTCAAAACGATGGTTTGTTTGTAATTGCGTGGTTAAACCTAGTTTTAGGGATGGCGGTCCCGGGCCTAATGTGTGTTTCGCTCGTCATTTATTTGCGGATATTACTTGTTTTGAATTTGTTTCTTCTTTTGTTTGACAGTAGACAGGCGTACACTGAAGTTCGAATTCATTTTTGATTTCAAATTAGGTAATTAAAGGGTGCTAATAAGACTTACCTACTTATACACATATCTAATCGTAGACGGAGCGAGCACATCCAAAGCTTGGCGCTAGACTGGAATTAAAAGCTGTCACAGACCAATTAGCTTTTTATTGAACTATGTACAGAATATACCAGTTAGAAGGGCTGTAAGGAAATCATTTACTTATTCGACATTTTGGAAATTATTACAAATATTGATACAGGATAAAAGTTAGAAAAACTGGGTTGTTCAGTTTTAAACTCCTATTTGAAAAAGAAAAGAAAAATGTTTAATCGTACCTGCAAAAACTTGCACCCAGTACCTATATTAGAATGAACGACATACAACATTGTAGGTACCTTTTTATGTAACGTTAGTGTACGTAAAAAACTATCCTGGAAAATGGAGCCCTACTACGTGTTAATGGTCAATATACACTTGCTTCATTCGCAGGCTTGGAGTAAGCCGCTGTATCCCAGTTGGTAGAGGCGTCGCCAGTAAAGATGACCGCTGGTCGCTGGTTCAAATCTAGCCTGCGGTGAATGCAGTTTTTCTAAACTACATGTAAGTACCTAGATAAAGTTATTTAGTTATTTCCTGAGAGCAAGCAATTAGGTTCAAATTTTGTTCAAATTAGCCAACGGCAAAAACTCAGTAACAGTTGCATTAAAATGATAAATTAATAGCAAACTAAAGTACCTAGTTAGTGAAATTCATTGTTTGAATAAATTACTTACCACACATTAAATTATAATTAAAATGCAAGCGTGAACGAACTGACACTGTGCTCCAAAGTATTAGTTAGGTAATAGCAATTTAATTACCAGACTATCAGACCTGTCACACATTAAGGGCCAAGAAACACTTGCACTATTTGGCAGGCTGAGAAGGAACCGCAGGTATGACAGGTCCAAGCTTTCTTTAGTCTGAGACCTTTAGTCCACGGTAAGTGAAGAACGATTGGCGCTGTAGAGAAGAGACCAATACCCTGCTGTGGGTGGATGTTAATAGGTAGTTGGTTAAGAATAATGATGATGATGATGAAGTAATTTATTAGAGCGCTGTGGATGAACCCAGGTTAACATGGTATAACATGCTTCGCGAGATAGAGCTAAAATCCTTGATTAGCTATTAATAAACAATTCTCCATTCTGCACAAATCAACGTATAAATTATTAATCAAACAGAAAGCTAAGCTAATTTGCACATTCAAAATTCAGAAAGCGTTATTACAAAAGACGGAAATGGTAGCACTCAAAATAATAAACAATTTACAAATAATTAATGAAGAGAGAGTGCTTTTCTATGTACCTACATTATGTGCGTATTTGTAGACAACAAATTGAAAAAAATTATAGTTATTATACAACCTGTTACATAACTAACCAAAAAAAAGAATATTTTTCATTATCATCAGTCGATAAAATAATCACATCACTAGTCTAAGTCAGGTGTACACTACCTGGCGAACAAAGTCCGCTTCGGCATACATTGCTGGTTGACTTAGTTTCTTGTATTGATGACACTCATGTAATAGCCAGCAATGTAGACCGAACTACGCTTCGCCGCGTCGGTAACTTCATTTGAACTCTGAGCTGTCAAAATTAGTGCTGCGATGCCACGATTAAAAATAAGTGTAATTTAATAAAAAAATATTTTTTTCGTAGTTTTCAAAAACGATACTATGGCTCTAATTTTTGTTAATTGACTCTTTGCAACGGACCTTTCCACACCCTTTCAGATTTATTGGTTGTTTTGTAACACGTTGTATATTAGTAAATAACCGTTTTCGCACTTCTGGGCGTCACAAAATCGTTAAGTAATATAGCGATGAAAACCTGTAAAAAAGTGTCGCATCGTGTCGCACGCACCGCTGCAATGCCTGCAATTCATACTGTTTTCAGTACTTACAGTACCTAACGTGAAATAGTTGTCGCCATTTCGATCGCACCTTAAAAATGGAAGGAGCTATCTTCTCCTATAAGAAGTTCGACGCAAGACGTAAGATGAAATTCGTCAGTTAAGTGATTGTCAACTTTCATCGATGCGATGCGCTGCGCGTCTCACGTGGATAGACGGCATCTCTTCTGTTTCGTTTTCTAAGGAAACGATTATAAGCGTCGCGATATCGCACGTATCACGCCCCCGTCTCGTCTGTAGAGTAGACTAGACCTAAAGGATTTTTCAAAAACCGTTTTCAAGTCCCGGAAATACACCGCCTCTCCGTGTATTTAACGCGGATGTGAATCCGCCGCATCCGGCCAAAAATAAATGAGCTTTCTTCCGCTTACTTAATTCACTGCGGGTTTTACACTGTGAATAAATTAAAAATTATATTACGTTCTTGTTTTATGTCACTTTCCCTGTCTCCTGTTTGCTTGTTTTCGGCCTTTTCTTTTTAGGTGTTATTTGGCATTTACGAAGCTTACAAATATTTTCATCATCAAATGTGTACCGGTACAACAAAATACGACGTGGAACGCTCTCTAATATTTTAGTACCAGTCGCTCGCTTAGTACTACATCCAGTAACAAAGGACCACGGAAATAAATTATCTATCGATGATATTATGATTGCAATGACAAGGGTAGCGTAGCAACCATTAAGTGTAGGTAAAATTGTGGGGTGAACTTTTTGTAAACTTTAAGATAACCTACCTATGCTATGTATCTACCTGTAGTGTTCCCCTCGACGGTGCAATCCATATTTCACTCGTTCGACGCATTCGTGCTTACACTCGCGATGCCACGTGGTCGCCCACATACGAACACGGAGTTCAGAATGTTCTAGAGGAAACCCATGAAAATTGAAACAGGGTAAAGTGTCCTCACTGCTGAGGATCGTGACTCTATTTATCTCTCTGTTTCTCAATTGGCAGTCTCTATTTATCACGCTCAGCTATCTAATGTTTCGCGGAGTTGACTGGTAGGTATATCCAATTTTTAGATAATATTTGGTCGGCCTACTGTTTCGAACTACGGACTGGAGTTCGCCTATCCCGTTCAGCTTTTCAGTTAAGGCGCTCTAGGTTGTCGTCATAAGGTTAAAATTTAGGTAAAGCCATGAAAAACTCGTACCTAATCCTAATCAGACTTTGTCCGAGCTAAACTACGACAAAATATACAACCATGAAAAAAAAGGACGAAATCCCACTCGAAGCTTACGATCAGCTGTCTTGATTTCGTCTCGTCGCTTCGCAACTTATTTTTTCCAAGGGAATGTTGTTCACGTGCCTGCAGTTTTTGGTACCTACACTGTCTCTTACTCTTACAAACAGCCTTTTTATGTTTCTGTATTATGTTGTGTTTCAGTCGTGAACTTGCGACGAGTTTCTTTGCTTTCTAAATACGGTTTCTCTCTGAAGCTCCCCATTGCTTTGTGCCACAGAATTAATGGTTACTGCCTCGCCACTGTATTATGCTGACTTCGAAATGTATTGGAATTATGGGCCCTACGTCATCATCGCTGTATCCTGTGGCGTTCGCGACTGAAAATAGACTGCTTGTTGAAATGTTTGAAATGGTTACAAGTACACGTGATCACACATTCACACATACTAATCTCACTTGTAATATTTACGGGGCAGAACGTAAGTTGCCGTACCTACATAAGTTTGGCAAAATATTTAGAATAAACTTCTTAACAATCATTAGTGGTTGTTGGTTATAACCTGTTCTCTAAAACAATTATACCTACGGATAAAAGCACGGCCGTTCTAATAGGTCATATTTGACAGATGTCAAACCCCCACTAAAAAACATGTCAACAAAGAAAAATTATGCCTTATGTTTCATCATGGCAGCAATAACATGATTTTAACAACTGTCAAATATGGCCTATTCCAACGGCTGTACTGTAAATGCTTCGTACCTGCACGCGAAAGAAGAGGTGATGCTATTCTAACCAATAATTAAGGTATAATTTTATGAAAAATCTTGCACCCTTGTTTTAAATCGTAATCCTCTTACCCCTACATGGCTAAAACCCCGCAACTAAAATCCCGGTTTCCACTGGCACCGGATAAGGCACGTCATCCCGTTTTTCCGGAGTTCCGGAGTTCCGCCGTTACGGTTCCGGTGTTCCGGTAGTTTTATCGCGTTTTCACTCCCGCCAATAAATCCTTCCGGCGCGTTAGAATAATCTTTCTTATTAGGTTCTAAGCTAGGAGAATACAGGGTGTTGCTTTTGCAGTACACACACACACACACACATACTTATTACGCCTTTAATGCTTGCGGGGTAGGCAGAGTGTTAACGGCCAAAAATATGGCCACTATCGCCACGTCTGACAAATATTTCAAGGTTCTTTCAGATAAATCGTGTGTAACTCCAAATAGTGAAACCTTAATTGTAAACTGAAATTAAAATTGTAATACACATTGAACTCTAGCGTCCCTTGGCTGCCTCTTACATACGACATCCAAAGTCCAAGAAAAACTCACGAAAAATTGCTTTTAGTCGCGGAAATTCTGATTGTTTGAATATGACACCAAAACTGTCTATTAATGATGTCAGGACGCCGCGATCGAGTCTACGCAGACACCATGAATTGATATTCTGGTAACATTTGGTCCCATTTTTTTTTAAACTTGCAAAATTTTTCACCGCAGGCAGGATTTGAACCTGCGACCTTCGGCATCTGTACTGCCTACGCCACTACCAACTGGGCTACCGCGGTTCTAATCGAGCCTGCGAATTTAGCAAGTATATCTTGTCCACTAACGCGTGGATGGGCTCCATCTACCGGGATAGTTTTTCAATCAGGTTCACTAAATTATGTGGCAGCGTTCCTAGAGTATAATGGGAAGCCGAAGCGTCTTTAATAGACAGATGACGCGATTACTACCTTGTCGTCGAACTTCTATTAGTTTAAGGTAAATAACTACCTGAAACTCGCTACGCTTCTCTTGAATATTCAGAACTTGTGATTATTGGAAGTACCTGTAAGGTAGATATATGTATATAGGGTTCTGTACCCTAAGGGTCAAAATTAAACCCTATTACAAGTCTACAGTTATTATTCTTTGTTATTTATTACTGAAACTTCGCCGTCTGCCCGTCTGTCACTAGGCTGTATCTCATTCACGTGAAAATCAGAGACCTGTAATTTTAAAGGATGTTGTACCTTTAGGTGTTGCCGATACAAAACCAATCATACCTTGCAAGAGATATCTAATGGGTTAGGTAGGATCAGGTAGGTTAATTATATTAACAATATACCAGATAAGCTTTTCATACCTTGGGTTTCAAAATAATTATCTTGTTCGCATAACAAATTATCGGATTTTCACATCCTCTTTTTGGCAAAACGACCACCAAATCGAGATGTTCGGAAATTAATTAATTCGAAATCGAGCTATTACGTAATCGATGTTCCAATTAACGTGCTGGCTGGCGATGGCTCTCGATACGGTATTGCTCGCATTTTAATGAGAACTGTTCGAAGACAAACTGTGCAAGCTGGACATGGATTGGCTGATAAAATCGCTGGAAAGTAAGTACCTACAATGTACATGATTGGATTGTGCTACGTTTACATTTACAGATAAATAACTACCATTATTATGTTGACATACACTGCCAATATTTAACTAGATATTTCACAGAACTACCAAAAAACAGGGAAGCATTTTTCCACGAATTTGCAATATATTACGATTAATTTTCGTCGTTGACTGCCCCGTTTATAGGTTTCAATAAAACCAGTCAAAGTAGAGAATTCACGCCAAGACGAATAAGCGTCAGAAACAAGTAGGAACTTATATGAAAAATTTGTCTCAGAGTAGGAATTTTCAAAACAAATGTTTAAATACGGTGGCATCTGTTGACAACGTTTGCGCAACTCATTAGCCTCTTGACCGCAGCTTGACATTCCCCGCACCAAGATAAACTGCCGTGTTTCTCAAACTGGACGTACACTGCAGATAAAATCGCTGGGCAAGCATTGCAAGGGATATTGCGCATGACTTACAGGGGAGCTAAAATTAGGGATGTCAGCCGTCCGGCTTTAGCTCGACATGTCCAGATTTTTACTGAATCGTCCAGCAAATTATAACGTGTCCAACCTACCCGAATTTTGCTAGTCTCTTTGATCGCACCTCGTACATAAGACACTTGATCAAAAACAATTTACAAATACACGATAGGTACGCGCGAGTGCAACGCGCAGTGGCATTTGCTTTTTCAACTTTTCGAAGGATGAAGGTTTTGTTTATCGCTAAGAATGAGTCATAATATTTGCGTGGCTCGAAATAGTGTGTCTGTTTTTACCCGACTGCCTCTGACTGACTGAATGTATGTTATGTATGTTAGTATGTATGTATGTGGACAATTATAGATTCAAGATGGGCGGATTTTTACAGCAAAACACTACCTCTAAGATTACCGCAGTCGGGTTTTTTGTTTTATAACACGTATTACTTGTTTAGGGTAAAATATCCGACTATTTATTATCTCCAAGTCTAGTTTTCCGGTCCAGTCCTGTATATTTTATATTACCACCTGGCAACCCTAGTTGGAAGAGAAATTGAGGGTGACCAAGGGGTGACCTTTCTGGATTACGGGGCAAATTGCAAGGGCAACAGTCGCCCATTAATTGGAAGGCTTTGGTTCCTATTGTCATAAATATGTGATAAAATAAATGAAGGTGCTGTAATTTGTAGCCTGTCTTCGATTGTGTATTCGCTCTAACAAGGGGTGCCAACCAACAGTGTCATATAAACTTAGCAGTATCAAGACACGCGGCAGCGTGTCCAGCCAAGTTCAAGCAAAGAACTGGCGGACCGGGCCGTGGTGTGTATATTTATTAATATTAGGAATATATTAGGAATGCAATCAAATGTGATATCGCATGTCTCTTAAATAGGATCCAGTATTAATTTAAATCCTCCATTCTTGCACAAATATATTGGATAAACTTGGGTAGCATTCAATTTTACATCTACGTCAAAAATATTTGCTTGTTTTCATAAAAACCATATGATTTGACGTGTCTAAGGTCATTTCATCTCATGCGCGAGACAAGTCTCTCTAGTGTGCAAAAACTGCGTATACGGATCACGTTCATAAGCTGTATAAAATTCCTGTTACATCGTTTCAGTACAAACACTTCAAAACACAAGAATTTGTCTAAAATGCAACAGATTATTGAGTAATTCAAGTCATGCTATTTCCTTTTCTCATGCCAATTGGCATTGCGACTTCAATACCGAATGTAACAGTCGAACAAGTTTTAATTAAGGCAAATATAGCTCGGGCAGCTATGTGGACATTCTCTAATGGTGTTTTGTTGGGATTGTGCAAACTATGACCGATTAGGTTTCGTCGCATTCACATTTGTGGTATTGTAGCCTCGGACCAAATTGTAGGTATTCGATAATTAGCTTTGTTGCAATAGTCACTTGAATTATTAATGAAGCATCTATCCTTACCTTTACAATCACAATACTTCACTAATGGACATGGGCCTCTCATTCCGAGGGCGTATTGCCATTCTCACCACGCTTGGCAGGTGGATTGGCCAGCGCAGTGCAAGATGTTTTATTCACAAGGAACGCTACTTCCCATTCCCTGGAAAATTAACCCTAGTCGCATTTTACGACAGGATCGCGGTGATGCTATTCCAAGCCGGCATCACACGAAAACTAATCTTATACCTCATTAATTGATATAAAAAAACGAGATTTAGTGACAATCTATTAAAATCCCGAATTAGGCGTACGAAAAAACAAAAACCGTGAGAACGCTTTCACGGTTTTGTTGTTTCAATCAAACCAATTTATATGTTTCGTTTCGAAATATTCATCAGTTCCATTACCTAAAAACTATAAAACGCAAAATATATCATTGACAAAATAAAATTCATCTTTATGAAAGTCTTAATTGATAAAATGAAACATGTTTTCTGAAAGAATTCGATAAATACATTTATCATTTTACCACCTCGAATCTTCTACAATCCAATCCATTCTTTCTTACAAAAATAAATAGATCTGAAGAATAAATGTCAAGAATTTTCACGTAACAAGAAACGTAATCCAAACACTTGTGACAGTGAGATAAACGTGCTCCACCCGTTCCACCCCAGGAGCAGTATTCTTGAATCGGTAGAAAGTTAGTTCGCTTGTGCCAATTTGCAACAAAATACGTTCTACTAGGCCCATCACGCGTTGTATACCTTGTGATACGATCAGTCAGCAGTTCAATTCGAAGCAAAATTTCGCAGTCAATAGTAAATTTCTGTGCCAGATTGCGGCAGTGGTTAAGTTCTATTCGTAGATAAGTATTAAATTAAATATTTGGCAAGCATCGAATGGTGCGAGTGGTTCGAATTTTACTGTGAATCTGTAGTTATCCGATTTTTTTGGACAAACTTCATCAAGTAGGTAGTCTAAAGTACTCGTATCGCAAGTTCTACTATTCGAATCTATTCCCCGACAAGGGTGTTTATGAGTAGATTTGTGAAGTTAGTAAACCGTGTGATGCGAACGTTGGTTTGACAGTTTTATTTGTCACTGACTAGCATTTGCAAAATCAAATTGACGTTTTAAAAATACGCCCCCAGTTCCATCATTTGCGAGGGAAATATTTCCAGCAAGAAGAAAAATTATTCCGATCCGTATAATAAAGTAATCGTCGGCGAACGAAGGGCCCTCGTCTAAGGTGCCAGTTAGCGCCTCTGGAGGGTTAAGTGAGGATAATTTCCCTTTGCGTGCCCACTCCTAATGACGCGCCGGGTAAAACGCGCGAACGAAGTGGGGAACGCGTGGCAAGGCTTTAGATTGTCGCAGTAACATAGTAACAGGTTGCTACGTGCAAAATAACAGATAAATAGGGAAAGAATAACACGTTAGGTACTAGGTGCAAGGAATTTTATTGGATTTTTCAAGTTCGCAAACATTGTGGGTAGGTATACCTACCACACGAAAAAAAGAGAAAAAGCTTGTAGTTCCTACTATCTATATTCTGGTCAACGTCTTTGCTTTGAAATTCTGCGATTGTAGTAGTATATTACTTTCAACAGTCCTATCGAAATTCAACTCAATACATTCACATTTGTGCGATCGGCGGAGTATTAAACGGACGATTTTCAGTCGTCAGAGTCAACGTCGAAGTATGTAATTAAAGTCCATCGAAGTCACTTTTTCCGAACGACAATTCCCTGAATGACAGCTCCGGTCGTTCTCCAACTCGACAACCAATTTCAGAAGTAACAAAAAGTGAAATAATAACTTTTTCATAGCGGTGAAAAGTTTGCTCAGTTCGATTTCAAGTCGCAGATGGGGTGGCTTATAGAAAACTGAAATTGCTTCGTACGGAGAAACCCTGCCGGCGATTTGAGTTCGTGTTTTGATACGGGTGGGGACTGCAATCCGGTCCGGCGGATCCGGTACCCGTACCGGATTGGGAAATCGTAAAAATTATAGGGATAATACTTTTTAAAGTATTTGTTTTGGGCTGATTGTAATGCAATATAGCAACGTCTGCAAACACAGGCGTTGTTAGCTTGATAAATAAAATAACCCACTATCTTCTCGCGCTTATCAAATCAACCCGATTTTGGTATGTTATATAGCATACAATTTGGCAGTTAATACAAAATTTATTATTATTATTATTATATTAGCCTACAGTGTCCCACTGCTGGGCAAAGGCCTCCCCTCTCTCTTTCCAGGCTTT